AGGACTTTGCCGGGCCACGAAGTACGTGTTTTACAAATTATGGTCGTACATATTTGTCCGTCTATGTCATCACTTTAAGACTGTTGGTCGGAAAAGTGAATATTTGAGGGGTCCCCTACTCGCCAATTCGTTGTAATGAGGACAAATACTCGCAAGATACTCGCGAAAAAAATAATCGAAAAATACTGGCCAAATACTCGCGAATACTCAACTCATTGTACACCCACTTGAAGAGTTGGGGGGACTCCTTGGGGGCCCAACGCCATCTTTCCAGTCGCACTTAGCAGCTCCGGGTGTGGTTTTTTCCAATGATAACTTTTTCATTGAAAATTTATCTTTACCGCATATAGCCATCTCTATGAATGGCCGCTCGAGCTGTGCGGCGGCCGCTCCGAAAGTGTCTTTGCGGAGCCGCTTCGAGGTATCGAACATGCGTCACAACTCCTGTGACGCCCGCACGGCGCGCGGCGTTTCGGTGTAGCCGTGCGGGTCCGCGAGGGGGCGGGGCGGGGCGGCGGGGCGGCGCGGCGCGGACATCGCGGGCACAGCTCCGCAGGTCCGAGACCTCGCGGGACTTCGTGCGTTCACGCCATGCGTTCATTTTTTTCCATCGCGCCTCGAAGTATTTTTGGGCCGAGTGACCCTGACCTTCCCCAACAGCGACCGCACTAGGGTGTCGGCCGGGGTCCGGGGCGGGGCCCAGCGGGGCCAAACCACGTGGCTCCGGTGGTGGCTCCGCGGCCAACCCCAAACGGACAACAATAATAAACCAGATCCACTCGGTGTGGTGGTGGAGGGGCTCGCGGCGTTGCAGTGCAGCCTGCGGTGCTCGGGTTGGCGTTGGCGCCCCTCTTGTCACACTGGTGAGTGTGTGTGTGTGTAAGCGATAAAATTGCGACACCGACGAGTGACCCGACAACACACAACGCACAGCGCCCACTTGGCAGGCGTTGACGTGCCAGAGAGAAGGGGGGAGGGGGCTTTCTTTTATCCTACATTGAGGAAGGGGGGGGAGGGGCTGCTGAAATGGCCCTCTCTCTCTCATACACTCGAGGCTTGCGCACATCTCTGGGCTGCGGATGCTGTGCCTGCCTGAAGACCGCGACCTCCTGTTTACATCGGAAGAGAAGTGGGGGCGGCGGGGGGCGGGGCGAGTGAGAGGGAGCGATAATACAGAGGGAAGCGGGGGCGAAGAAGTTAGTCTGAACGGTGTTTGAACCGGAGCGTGCCGGGTGGTGCGGCCGAGCGACGGGACGGGGACGATGGTCGGGCCGAGCAGGCCGAGCGGCGGCGGCGAGGACCGACCCCCTCCCGAACCCAATCCGAGCCGACCCGACGCGCGTCCGTCTGCGTGGCTCCGCCGGCCCGGCCTGCCGTCTGCTCGCCCGACCCGACCCAGCGGAGACGGTCTCCCTCTCTCTGTCTCTCTCGCTCTCTCTGTCGCTCCGGCGCGCGCGAGAGAGTCGGGAAAAGGGGTGAGGACGGACGTCGCCCGCCCGTAGGTCCGCCCGGAGGAGCAAGGAGGAGAGCGGCGGAGGCGGAGAGGCAGTGCATGTGTGTGCGTGTGCGAGAGAGAGAGAGAGAGCACACATGACAGAGTGGCCTGCATGAGTGAGGGAGCGCAAGGGCTCGGCGGGGCCGCCGTGTTGTCATGTTTTTGTAGAGAGGATTGTTGTTCATCGGTGGTCTATGTAGAGTGCCAGGGCATCTCCAGGGGGACTCGGTGTCGAGCTGGCTCAGCCCCACTTGTGTGAGCGGGACCCTGCCGTGCCCCCGCCCCGCCCTCCCCCGGCGTTACTCAAACCGTCGGCTCGCCCCACTCGGCTAGGCTAGACGGCTTGTGTTGTTGCAGCATTTTCCAGCGGGGAATACTGCACGGCCGTTGCGTCAGGCTCGGGCCTTTAGTGCGCGGGATTAAAGGCGGGAGGAGCGAGAGGGTGGAGGAGCTCGGGGGGCTCACGGGGCAGCGGGCAGCTGGAGCAGCGGCACTCTCCACCTTGGACACTTCACTTTGATACCGTAGGTCTCCATAGACCTAACGAGTTCCAAAACTCCACACCTCGGGACCTTTCTCGGCGCAGGGCTGAATGATTGTGCTCGAATAGACCATAGGTTGCCGACAGACACCGCCTACTCTTGTGCAGGTAGACTGTGCTGCGCGCGTGCGTGTGTGCGGGTTGCCTAGTACTCGCCCGGTGCTGTAAAGGCGAGCTCTGAGGTGGACGGACCGCGTCTCTCTCGCACCAACATTACATATACACGAACCCAACCGGGCCGGGTGAACGGAATCTGGTATTGGTTGGCGCGCGTGAGCGTGAGTCATCCCCGTCTCCGGGAAGGAGGTCTGGGCCGCGGGGGAGGGCGGGAGCGAGAGAGATATGGAGAACGAGAGGGAGAGAGAGAGAGAGAAAAGAGCTGTCGCTTCATTTCACTCCGCCTCGCTCACTCATCGGCCCCGCTCACCATAGCCGCGCGCCGCGCGTCCGTCAACCTCTGGAGGAGGTTGGGCATCGCGTTACTGCCGGGTCATCGCTCACGGCCGGCCCTCCTGCCTGGGCCCTGCCCGCTCCGCCGGCGCGCAGACGGCGGCCGGAGATAGTTTTGTGTGCGTGTGTCCGGACTCGGTCCTGGCGGGCGGGCGGGTCCTTCCCTCTGAGGGGTTTATGGCGACGCCGCCGCCGCAGAGGCGACCGAACTGACTCACCAGATAGATAAGGCCTTGTTAGTTTAACCGCGCCTCGCCCCGCCGTCGCGCCACCCTCCTCCTCCTGCCCGGCCCAGCCCACCTCGTGCAACTGTGACTTCGCAACCTTGCTGCTTTCATGCTTGCTACTCAGTCGGCCGGAGCGGGGCGCGGTGGGGCGGGGCGGGGCGGGGCGGGGCCCCGGGGACCAGGCGCTACGGTACGGCTTCCTGCGGGTCCCAAGCTAGCTCGCCTGCCTGCGCCTTGCCTGCCTCACTTGCCAGTTTCAGGGGCGGCGGCGCGAGGAA